ATATCTAACAGTATTTACTTTTCTGTTGTTTTATGTTTTCATGTGCGAATCCATAACAAAAAAGTTAGGTTTTTGAATAAATAAAATAAAACTACAATTAGTTTAAAGTTTTAGAAAAATAGTCATTGGCCTTGACATCGTATCTGTATGATCCATAATCACTTAGTCAGTACTAAATTTGTGATCTTGAACAATCTCTAATTGTTCATGGACGCAAATGTGCAATTCATGTTCATATGGATATATGGTTTTGATATTTATAAAAACTAGTTTTCCATGCAGTTGGACTGGTCTATTTAAATTAGTATAGGGAGACCAAAAAAGCTAATAGCAACAAAAATGTATTTTAAATTACAATTAAATTCATTGCTATACCATGATACAAATTTTGAATTTACCGGGTATGATGTTGTTGATTTCGCAATACAATGTATTTCCATTTCTATTTCTATCTACAATGTACCTAATGAAACACATACAAAAATGATATGCCAAAAGGTAGGACTAGTAGTTTGTTAATTTGAACTGACGTGCCAGCCACGTAGTATCGTTTTTGAAAGTGTGTGTGTGGGGGGGGGGGGGAAGCGAGGGGATTTTTTTCTACTTACCTGAAAACAGTTGACAAGCAAAAAAAATAAAAATAATAATAAAAATTAAAAAAAAAATAAAGAGAAAGTTGAAGCCAACTTTTCTCAATATAAATTTCTTTCAGTACTATTTTTTAACCTAGAATACTACATTTTCCTTATATCACAAAAAGTGTGGGGGGGGGCAACCAGCCTTTCAATGAACATTTCCTACAGTATATGTTATGTTGGGAAAAAAGTTGCTTCGTGCCTGCGTCCGGAATAAAATAGTTACAATAAGTTCATTAGCCGAATATTGTCACTTATCATAATATCGTATTAAAAAAAATAGTGAACCTGATTCTTGATGGTTCACCTATTTTAAAATCACCTTTCTGATTTAGACCAACGATCCATATACATGTATATTTGTATCATACGTTTACCGATTTATGATTGATGAAAAAAGAGAAGCAGATTATTTAATTATACCGTTTATTTGAAATGGCCGGGTAGAAATAGTTTTACCTTTCTTGAATTGAGCCGTACAAGGTATGGATAAATCCCCTTTATGAGACAATATATTTCTTAATATTCATAGATCATGGAAAAGTTATATATCTATGCTACGTAATCCAAATTTTCGGGATATATAGTTTTTGTCCTGTCCAGCTGTCTGTTTATCTGTGTGTCTATCTGCAAAAACTTCAATATGACAATAACTTTTGAGGGGGGGGGGGCTATATCTTTCACATTCACAGGTGTATTCCTCGTAACAAGACCTTTCTTAGGGTAATACCTTTTACATTATTCCCTGGCAGCCATATTTTTAAAAAAGTAATTAAGTCTGAAGATATGAAGATGACAAATATATGTGAAACAGCTTCAGCTGTATTTTTAATATCGTGTGATTCTTTATAAACAGGCTTGGGCTAAGGCTAATTGTAATGGTAATGCGTTGCAATGCATTACATGAACTCAAAGTAATGCTAGTAATGTGTAATTTTATGGTAATGTAATGCATTACTTTATGAAATCAAGCAGTACAAAGCATTACATGTATTTTGTATGTACCTATTTTCAGAAATTAATTAAATGGACATGGGAATTATCGTTTAGGTTATTTTTTTCATTTTTTTTTTTGGTAAAAAAAGTTAACTTATTTCAATAAAAATTATGTATCTACATAAATACACTTACCTTAGATTTTAGTTTTTTAAAACTTGATTTAGATAAGATGTGATTTCAAAGAATTATTCAAAATATAGTTTTAAAACTTTTCTTTTATAAAATTCGCATATGAGGTACACTCATTATTGCACACTGTAAATTGATAATTGCCACCTTTTGAATAAGTAGAGTATCATGAAAACACTATATGATGTGACTGTTGAAACAATGCATTGTTTGGAGAAGTGCTCCAAATAACCAATCCCTTTCTCCCTTTCTCCTGACCATGTTTATAAAATATTTATTGGGCTGGTCTACGAGTGTTGTTCATTAAGTAATGCAATACACAGTATATCATAATAAATGTTAATGCATTTTAATTTTTTTTTTATATTTCCATATTTAAAAAGTGCTTGAATTTTTAAAACCTGTTTTTCGAAATCACCCAGGACAAAAAGGGTATGCCTGTCCCCGGCTACACGGCGATATAAGAAGAGAATATTTGGCGCACTACTAATTTTAGCGCCATTGGTGCAAGAGCCCCTGAACGCTAAAATTTATTGTGCGCTGACGGATTTCTATATTTTTTTGTGTGTGTTCAAAGCTTTTACATAAGTATATATGTAAACCAAAACGTGCGATTACGTAATGTCGAAAGGTTGTTGGATTTTATATACACACTAGCACTGCAAATTGTAGGATCGATCGAGAAAGTTCCTCAATCCAAATTAAAGTTTAATTAAAATATTGTTACCCTGGTAGTTGTTATCCGATTCTTATCATTAGCACCTTTAAAGTTTGGCTTCTCAGCGTGTCAATCATTTATCGCCTTGACGTAAACAATGCAATCAAACATAACGATTGAGCTTGCAGAAAATACCTGATTATAATTACCGTTTATCCAAATAACTTTTTTTCGATGCATACATTGCTTTAATATGAATAAAATACGTAAATACTTCATTTCTTTTATTAAGAATAAAAAAATAACATTGTGTCATGTCCATGTGATTTCAACACCACAGTCGGTAAAGTTGATGGACAACCCATTCTCAATATAAGGGCTCAAATAATGTCGCCTCATTTTCATTTGGAAGAAATACCACTGATGTAATTTTCAAATCAACATTATAAATAGTCATATAACAATGAATAAGAATTCATATTCATATTCATTATCCATCTGAGAGGGTATTTAAGGAGTTCCAAATTCAACTATACTAGCTTATTTGAAATGTACGTTACTGTCGCCGAGGCAAATATTATGCTGAATCCCCTCTATGTAATATGCAGTTTTGATTCTCAAGTAAAAATTTTCTGATAACTTAAACCATGTATCATATATATTTCTTTTTGTAACAATAAATACATTTTCTTTGTGATAATAAATCATTTTTATTGTGCAATGTCCCTGTCGCTTAATTTTATTTCAACCAATTTACAAGCAAACACAAAGATTATACAACTGATAGTTCTTTTCTCCTTAATGTATTGATGGGCTAAATTTGAAATTTCAAAGGATTATTTACTCATAATTAGATAATGTTACATGAAATTGAACAATTTGAGCAACTTTTGTAAATATGTTTACGGAATGAAAGACATTTTCAATCGTAGAGATAAGAAAGAAATGCACGTTACACTATATTATCATTAAGAATATATATTACGTAGAGAAGATGAGATGACGCTAAGTAAGCAACCCCTTTTACCCTGTAAACTGGCAAATTAAAGATGTTTTGCTTAACACAATTAAAAATTATTTTTTACATGAAAAGTGTTTATGTGGTCATACTTTCACACACTCCAATGTGTACACAAAGGTTTCAAAGGTTGGAGGTCGGCTAAATCCCAAAAATTAATGAAAAGAAACGTTTCTGCTGAGGAAAAATTTTTATATTAAGGTCATTTATATGTAATATAATTTTGATACCTGACATATATTTCTGTATACGAAACCTGTATGATGCATTTCATATGATATGCAAGTTCAAATAGTATCAATATATTGCATGTATAACGTACGCTTGTGGAAGAGAATTGATTCGTATATTTGAAATGTACGTTACGTATTGTAACGTACATTTTGCGTATTTCTCACTGAAATTTTTTTTTAATTTAATGCATTCCCACTTACGTTATCGCTAAAATACGTATGCACCAAATTTTCTCGTTTTACGTATACAGGACTTTTCTATCACTCATATTAGCTTGATCCCAGCCACTGTGAGATCTTTACATTCCCAAAACACCTAAAATCAATCGAAGGAAGATTTTATGATGTCAGATACATGTATGTCATGAGAAATGATATTCATCAGTGTCTTTGGGGCATCCGTAAAGATGATAATGCAGAGGATTTCTGTTCATGGATACAAAGACCTAAAACACGCGTAAAGGGTCATTGAAACTACTGAGTATTACGAACATGTATTACGTACTTTTATTACTTTAAGATGACATGTTGCATTAATATTTGAACGAACCTCGTAGCTTGAACTGACCATTAACAAAACAATTGTATCAAAGAAAATAGAAGACATGCAGACATTTTATGCTTATCAGAGCAAAATTTTTAATGGATTATTAGTGTTTTACAGCTGTATCCCGGAAGAGAGGCATTATTCAGATATACTGTAGCTGTCCCGTTATTTGATTGATTTCCTTCCGTTTCCCCGTAAACCGTTTTGCAAATTGGACAAGTCGATTTATCGTGTAAATATTCTGTGATACATTCACGACAGAACTCGAGTTGACAATCTTTTAACTGTACTGGGTCGGTCAATTCATCTCCGTACAAATGACGCACAAATTATCATTTTTGTCTGCCACAGCTGCGCACGCACCTTTGTCTGAAAATTCACCAACAAGTAAGGTGTCTGAAATCTCAGTATCGCTTTCTATAGAATCCGAGTTGATCATTAGAAGATTTCCTGTACAGGATTTTGATCCAGGCTTTTGTACTGGAATAGAAATATTTTCCGAGAGAGGTATATTGTACTTCCGTGAGGTACAGATACCAAAAACGATTCCATATTTTGCTTGTGGTTTGCAGATGATCTCCAAGAATCGATCATTTCATAATTTTTAAGGGTTAAACTTGTATGAATCCTTACGAGAATCTTTTGCTATCTCACCCTTTGGTTCTTTTTTCTTCACTTGTCGGTCTCTTGGACGATTTGAATCTGAACAGAAGGATCTAAACACATCGACAACTACTTTCGTAGTTTGTTCGGTAAAATTGACAATATGTACCGTCTTTCATAATTTTTAAGGGTTAAACTTGTATGAATCCTTACGAGAATCTTTTGCTATCTCACCCTTTGGTTCTTTTTTCTTCACTTGTCGGTCTCTTGGACGATTTGAATCTGAACAGAAGGATCTAAACACATCGACAACTACTTTCGTAGTTTGTTCGGTAAAATTGACAATATGTACCGTCTTTAAATTTACACCCTCTGCTAATGAGAAACATTCAATGGCTTGTAGCATAACGGTAGCATATGTTGCTAGATATTGTGGATTCTGAATTGAACCTAAAAAGGCAAAACAATATATATGAGAACCCTATTTAAAAACTTGTTAGCCCCTAAAAAATTCTTACCGCGTACAACCAACTTTGACTTAAAGATCAAGGTGAAGTTTCAAAACAAATTGAAAAAAACATAAAAAAGAACAACATAATTTTAAAAGCAAAATAGCCTAAAGTGTATATCCTCTTGTCTAAAAAGATAAACAGCGCTCAGTCTTGCTAAAATTAAATCAAGTCTCACGAATATTTGTAATTAAATAAACGAACACGATTCTTAACTCATGGGTCATTCCCAGTAAATATACTCACCTGTTCCTAATAATGATAATGCAATGGAAAACAATTTCTTCTTTTTAACCTTTTCATTATTTGCTGCATTTAGTATTTTAAGCGTTGTATCCCATAATTGTTGTTGGTAAAATCCTGAGGGAAGATCATCCGGAAATTCATCAATAATGGCATGTAATACGATTTGAAAACCAAGATAGCCTGCACCCGTCCGTAAAACTTCGGTGGTGTAATATTTTTTCGTCCCCGAAAACAGTTGTGCATGCTCCTTCTGATATGGTTTTCCTGCTTTTTTGAGAATTGCTTTTGCAAGTTGGCCGTTTCCAGGTACTTTGGGATTTTCTGTTGACACCAGAATATCTACATTTTGAATCTTTGTGAGGTCCTCGGTGTAAATGAGTACACAAAGATTATTAACCTCAAAGATTTCCGTCTCTCCACTGGAGTTAATCTGTTTACAGTTAGACATTTTTGCAGTATGAGCAGAGGATTGGGTGGGTGTTTGAGACTGAATTAAATTGGTTGGATATTGGGGTACAGGAGTTGGGTTGCTTGGGTATGGGAGTAGAAGAGTTGGATTGCTTGGAAAAGGGTGTAATGGAGTTGGATTGCTTGGAAAAGGGTGTAATGGAGTTGGATTGCTTGGAAAAGGGTGTAATGGAGTTGGATTGCTTTGGGGTACAGGAGATGGATTGCTTGGATATGGGTGTACAAGAGTTATATTGCCGGGGTATTGGTGTAACGGCGTTCGATTGCTTGGATATGGGGGTACTGGAGTTAGATTGCTTGGGGTTACAGGAGTTGGATTGCTTGGAAATCGGGGAACAGGAGTTGAATTGCCAGGGTATATGAGTACAGGAAGTGGATTGCATGGGTATGAGAGTACTGTAGATGTCGTGCATGGAATTGGAAAATGCTGTTGTCCTGGCACAAAAGTGGATGGACACAAACTAGAAAAATCTGTAGGATTTTTCGCTCGCCCTTGAAATTTTCGTAGTTCTCTCAACCGCATCATCACAGAATTTTCCTCAAGATATCCCGGGTTGTCAAGAGCAATTTGATATGTGTCAATTACTAGTCCAATCATATCATTGTTTTTATCAATAAAATGAATTTCTTTGATTGCATTTTTCGTCTTTTCTAGAAAGTTTTGATATTCCATAACAGATTTTACATACATTGCTGCAGCTGCAATATTTGGTATGCCATAAATTTTACCTGAAAATGACAAATCATAATATACAAGAAACTAAAAAAAAAAACACATAATGCTGAACTGATAAAAAAAGAAGGAAATTAAGTAAAGCATTTTTTTTAAAAAAGGATATTTGAAAATTCTTTACTCCTAGACATAAATTTAAGGAAAAAAGAAACATTTCGATTGCATTCTCTTGGATATTAAAAAAATTACTTACTAGAGCCTATAGGGGGCAGAGCAATAGATTTAACACCTCTTTCACACGCTGTTATCAGAGCTCTCGATACAGTTTCATAGACATCCCTAAGACACTGTGTTTTGCTTCCGCTGTCATAATTTTCCCAACGTGGACAAGCACAGTGAATTAAGTATTTACAGGGAAGCCGTCCCGCAAAGGTGACCAAATTGTCTTTCGTTTTTACATGTCTTCTAGATTTAACCACTTCAGCAACTTCATCCCCTGCCTCCCTTAGTATTGCCTCTGAGAAACCGCCTGCTTTGCCTCTATCCCAGATGCTGATAATAGCGTCAAGATTGCCTCTGGGTTTTGTAATTGATCCACTGTAAATCTTGAAAACAAGGATACCATTTTCCCATCTCACGATAAATTCTTTCCCGATTCCTAATGCCGATGCCCTCGTGCACAGGTCACCAATTTCAGAGAAATTCTTCACTGAATAAAAATATATATGACCGTAAAGCCAAAATCACAAGACAAATACATGGAAACTAAATTGAAAGTAGACGTAATTATATGTTTTTCATATAAATTTTGTATGTCTTTTCATTCTTGCAATACTTTGCACTTCGAAGATTTGATTTCTAAATCTGGTTCATTTTTAGACGTATCGGAATGTTTTCATAAAAAAGAAGAATAAAAAATGGCAAAATTACTAGAGTAGAGATCTCAACCAATTATATCCTCAAGGTTTGTTTACGTGGATGTCGTTTATCACACAGGTTGCGCAGCTATACAGATAGATCTATCTATTTTATGTATACGCTTAAGCTTATTTACCGTGCAATTAATCTTAAAAATAACAGACATTTGCAACTTTATGCATATTGTATGTTATGATGAAAGGTAGTTTGATACATTTACCGATGTAACCATTTTTATTTGGTAAATGTAGTTTAAAGTTCTAAAGAACGAGTGCACCGCGGTAAAATGTTAAAAAAATAAACACTCAAATTAAGCAAAATTTTTCATCTCAAATCATTAATTGATATTTAAACCATACAATTCAACAAATTTTACCGCTGAAATCCATATATAGAAACACAAAGAATTCATTTTACATGGATACCCACTTCCGCCCCAGCCCTGGGTTGAACTCTCGACCTTCGGAATCTGTCTCCTAGCAGTGCAGGAACAGCGCGATAGACCGCACGGCTATCTAGGCAAGTCAAAAAACTTGCTTTCGATGCCGATGGAATTCTCGCGGCGCTGCCCTACACTACACGGTCATTGAGAATAGAAGTGAGATACAGTTATTTGGACATTAGTTTTAACAGAGGATTGTTACCAATACATGTTGTAATGAAATTAATTATTATATATAAAGCACATTTTACAACAACTCTTAAAATAACATAACTGCCCTAAGTGAATAAAAAGCACAAAAAACTTGCTTTCGATGCCGATATTAATATCAATTAATATCTACAATTTAACTTCCTAAAAATTTATTTCAATGATATATATATATATATATATATATATATATATATATATATATATATATATATATATATATATATATATATATATATATATGAATATATGAAAGTTACCAAAATCTTGTATGACTTTGACTGATAGTTCCTAATATATTGAAATTGATATGTCAAAAGCCCCCAAAATTAAAATAAAAATTCTCATTATTTCCCTTACACATTGTTAACAGCCTTGTTTTTCCTATGCATAAGTTCACCAGAGCATTTATCTTTCTCATAGGATTATTATTCAACTCCTCGGACAATAGTCTAAATGGTTGAGAGTAGCTGTATTATTCCAATGCTAACAAATGAATGCCACAAATTTTCGTTTTATGATAGAATTTACAGAATTCAGCTGGTTTCGTACACGTGAATGTTTGTAAGAACGTCTCGACAAACACTGGCTACATTTACCCAGTGTAAACATGCTAAAACATTAAATGCAAAGATAAGTTTCAGTGTTTATTTAACGCATGCAGAGGTGTTAATTAGCCAAAGGAAATAACTTCTCACTTGAACGCACACACAGTCAGCTGTCCAGGTTCAGTTAACATATAGCATGGAGCAGTTAGGGGATTTAAAGGGTATGCAAAGTGAAAAACAAGAGTTAACAGGTCTGGACGATTTCCAAATATGGATTTCAAGAAAGATAATCATAATTTGCTATAAAAACACAGGAAAACAAAGTGCCTATCCCTCTGACCAATCAGATAACGGCATTCAGACAAACCCATGAGAAAATAAATAAAACACGTGGTATTAATCTTTTTTTGCTCAAAAGATTTTTAAAAACAATTTTTTGAAAACTTTATGCACATTTAGGAATGATACAGCATATATGACAAAGAAGAAGTCTCAATAAGCCATTATCTGTGGTCCCTGGTCACTCGTCAAATTTTAAACTTTCATTAAGACAATAAAAAAGTAAATTATATTATTCTCTTATGTCTGTAGTATATGCGCCAACGTTTAAAAATATCAAATAATTGCAAAAAACAACACACCAAGCTGTGTTTTGAAGGTGGGGTCCTTTGATTTTCACGAATATCAAAAGAAATTTGTGACAGGTACCCACTTCACAGCTTTCGTAAACATCGAGCGCAGGCTTGTTCAAAGTCGAGATTAAAATATAATGTGTATATTATATTTATACAGATTGTGTGTAAATATCTTGGTTGAACAACATTGCGCTCTATGTTTTCTAATTAAAAGTATCATGATTTTGCATCTGTTTGGTGAGTACATTTACATAGGATTAACCTCTTGTTGACCTGCTAAGAATAGATAATATGTCACGTGATTCCATTCCGCCACAGGTGAATACTTTCGGAAAGCGTGTTTTCTGTAGGTAGCGACACATTTAGCTCGTATTTGAAAAATGCAGACACCAGCTTTCATTTTTTTAAATTAAAAAAAAGGTTCTCTCTAGACTTCGATGAATATCACTAATGTTAAACTTTGGCGATTTTCCGGGACAAATTCTAATTCATATGCACGTAATCCCAACTTTCCACGAATTAATATATACGAGTAGATGTATAAAAATACACATTTAATCAATTTCTTGCGAAAAAGCAAACAATACCAAAGACGTATTTCTTTTCTTTCAGTTTTGAGAAGGGTTTCCTTTTTTTCTTTATCAAATTCAGGTTTCTTGTGGTGTTTTTTTTCTCAGCACCCCCTGTGTGTATTAAATTAAAAACTAAAAAAAAAAGACTCCCACCCACCCCAAGTTCAGAAGAATACGAATGATGCAAAATAAAATTCAAGCTTATTGAAAATTATTTTTCTCCATCGTATATTGTTTTTTATTTCTTATCTCACGCTACAACTCATCGTTGTCTTCCCTTATATTTATATAATACCTAATTTAAATGTCTCCGCCCATTTGTATGTAATAGAGGAACCGCACTCTGTTCGAAAGAAAATGTTCCGGAATTTGTGTGTTCAGTAGGTGTTGAAAATCGGCTTGTATTTCTTGATATTCCAAGTTACTAATAATGATTGTACAAAATGTTAATTAGAAATATTTTGTTATACACAATGAAACTAAAAATAATACCGTATCCTCATGTATATTTTGTAAAATAAGGGCAAAAAAGGGACCACGCTACTATACTTAAGTGGAAAACTCCTTTACCGTGTATAAACACAACTTGAACGCTTATAATAAATTCAAGTGGGATAAAACATCCGTCAATACGAGGTTGCAATCCCCCCCCCCCCGAAAAAAAATCATGTTAAGAAATTTAATATAAACGCGGTAAAATCTGTTTTTTGAGCCTGGCATAAAAAATATATTCATATGGGAATATATTAAGAATAGTCTAACTATTCCCTCAGTGTTTCTTTAAAAAAAATCGTCCAGTCTCTGATATGCGTGTTAAGTTATTGTGAAAAAGCATTAATGTACACCCCTTTTTTCTCTACCTTTTACACTTTTTCTTTGTTCCATTTTAAGTTAACATAACATGGTATTCAGCGCTCATGAAACTCGTGATACTTTTAGACTACATGTAAATAACGGATTTTTTCCGTTATTTCCTGATCATGACAAGGAGCACACGGCGGGTGTGACCGATCGGCAGGGGATGCTCACTCCTCCATGGCACCTGATCCCACCTCTGTTGTTTTGGGGGTCCGTGTTTGCTCTGCTCTTATTTTGTATTGTTTTATGGACTTTGAGATTGAATACTGTTCGTTATCTCCATATCATCCTTCTTCACGTAGTAGAAACGATGAACACGTGCATGTAGTATAAAATATACCGATGAAAACGCGATATCGATGCAAATCGGACATGCAGCTTAAGCAGAATAATTTTTACCGACATAAAATATGTTCTGCAAATATTAAAATTGATAATAACTTGAGGGTGTCATCTTTTCTTCCGTTGACAATGACATTGTTATATACGTGCAGTATTTTTTTTCAAGATGAAAATGTTAAGTTTGTTCAGGGTAAATATGTTGGGAATACCTTATTCTTCCAAATTTGTCAGTTTATATTCTAACTATTTCTTGTCAAATAATCTTTTTGAAAAAAAAGCAAGTGTTCTCTTTATGTTTCTTTGGATTATTTTTTTGGGTGTGTAAAAATGCTGTTGTCTGATTGGACAGGAAAATATCTACGTGTAAATGATGTATATTTATACAATTTTCAGTTATCGTTCTTGACTTCCTTATTTGGAAATCGACCAAACCTGTTAAATATTAGTAATTTTATTAAATACAAAATTCAAGACAACTAGCGGTACCGTGAGCAATGAGCTCATTAAATGATACCCCTGCCTCCCATATGAATATAATGGCACTGTCCATTTTTTGCTGTGGGAAACCAAAAAAAATGTGTCGGATCAAAAAGTTAAATAAGAAGTGCAAAATAGCAATATGAAACTAGAGGTACTGTGAGCAATGAGCTCACTAAATAATACCCCCCGCCTCCCATATGAATATAATGGCAGTATCCATGTTTTGCTCTGGAAAATTCAAAATATATATCAGATCAAAAAGTAAAATAGGAGGTGCACAATGGCAATATGTAATAAAGATTCTGTGAAAGTTTCATTAAATTTCCTTCACTGGTATGAGAGGAGTTGCGGATAAGAGAAGGGTACCCCAAAGCGTAACAGACGGACGGACGGACGGACAGACAGACGGACGGACGGACAGACGTACAGACGGACGGAATTAACGATTACTATATACCCTCCCGCTTTTCAAGCGGGGGGTATAAAAAATTCTGTAAAAGTTTCAAATTTCATTCAGTGCTATATGTGGATTTGCGGATAAGAGATGGGTACCCATAAGCGTAAACAGACGGACGGACGGGTGGACTGATCATTGTATACAATCCTGCTTTTCAAGCGGGGGATATAATAAAATGATTTAATATCAAGCAATAAAATAGGAATCTAAAGAGATCGTTTTTTGAAAACGAAATGAGAAAACTACAAAGCATAGCTGCTGATTTTTTCTGCTTATAATGACTGTTCTCAAATATTATATAATGTATGCAGGTTAAAATATCAAGTTGTTTTGTGTGTGACATAAAATTAAGCATGCATTGTGAATGTACATACCAGGAACAAATTTTCTCATCTCACACAAAAAATTAAGTGCATTTGAATTTCCAAAATTTCTTTAAATCTAAATATCTAATTATGAAATTCGAATTGTTTAAATATGGATGCTGAATCTTGAAAAAAATATTTTCCAGAAAATTTACAGTATCAAAACCTCATGTATTTCATGTATTTACATATGTAACTAAATATGTACCCCTTCTTTAGTGAGAGAGGCATCTATTAAGGCAAAAATATTTAAATTTTGAAAAAAAAACCTTTAATTTGTTTGTGTTATATTTATCTCTATTAAAACGTATTAATAAGTGATATAAATTTTGTAAGTTTTTAAGAAAAAAAGTATCATTTCATAATCATTTATTTTCACGACAAAATGACGCGAATTTAAAGCTTTGAAAATTGTCGTCACGTGCAAAATCCCCAATGATAATTTTCAAAAGTTGGCATGTATATTTTTCCAATTCATTTTTAAAAGCATAAGAACACCGTGCTGACAAATCTCTAAACGTACCAGAACGAAAGAATACACAAATACAGGCCATTTAATAAATACGTGACTGACGCGAATTCATACATTTTGGAAAATTATTTGCTGGTGAAATCTATTTCATTTCAACATCTTATTCCTACTTTAGGTCCCTCTGAATATCGGTGTGTAAAATGCCTTATAGGCATTTGATGTTATTTTTAACATAAATTTACGGAAATTGTTTTTTTGCTTTATAAATACGCTATCGATGAAATTTTTTTTTCAAAAAAATGATTCCAAATAGTAGACTATCGATCGAATAATGCAATCGAATGTTCGAAAAAGGAAAACAACTATTTTGACATCCCTTATTTATTTTATTGAATATTTGAATATATTCGAATCCTCCTATCAAATATTCGAATATCAGTGATTGACAATTTTGATAAGGGCCCTGATTTTTTTCAAGTGCTGTTTCCTGCCATACGTATGTCATGTTAATGTAAACTTCGTGGCAACTCCACTTCCATTCCTTACATATGAATTGAAATGTTTAAAACATTTATAATGCGGTAATTCGCGCCTTTTTCTCATGGTTTATCATACTCAGCTGGTTTGTAGAAATAAATTGAGTCAAATTCAAGACGTCTTATGTCGATAACTTGTATTTTGACTGAAAATATAGTTTTTATTTTCTTTTTCCGCAAAAACAACTGTCAGCTGGGTTCTGTATGAAAATGGTAGTGCTTACCTTTGCATCGAAAAGTGTCCAATGCATGGTTAATTTGTGTCCGATGTAGGGTGAAATTAGCATACTATTAAAAACCAGCTCTAACAAGAATTAAACAGGTCGAGGAAACTACCTTATATGGATATTGTTGTCATTGCGCACAAAGGTGCTCACAGCAAACAATGGTCCAATCTAGTGAATGAGCCGAAAAGCATGATGGTCTACTACATGTTTATTTTTACTACAAACACGTGGGTTAAGGGAAATTTAGGATCCGATTTCAATTGACTGCTGGAAAGTCAATTTACAATTTTTTGAAATGTGTTTGAGAAAAAAACGAAGAATAGGTACTAATCAAGAATTCCCATGCTCACATTAACAAACAAAGTCAGTTTTCCTTGTTGAATAGTACTTTGAAAAACCGCTCACAAAGTTTCCACAAGTAAGAAATAAAGGACTCCAGTACTTGATAATCGTAAATTTGCCATGTAACCGGCTGAATTAGTTATTGCTCAGTTATTTGTTAGTAGAAATTTAAAGTTCATGCATTTACAAAGAGGACTTGAGTTGCACGTTTTTTTTTATTAATTTAACCCTATATTAATTCTCATGTGCATTGATCATAGAACGTGTATAGAAAAGCATAATGTATGTTTCGAAGTTGTATACGTTATAAACATTGTCAATACGTGAGCAAACCTCAGAGTAGGTTTTTTTTTACCGATGAATAGCCACGTGAAATTGACTTTTCACTGACAGTGGGAAAGCTGTAAACAAACTAGTCTGCATCATCCAGACGTTTGCGTTTAACTCCACAAACTGTTTGTGGAGGTAAACGCAAACGTCTGGATGATGCAGACTATAAACAAACAGACTTGTACAATGGAGTGGGGAATACCCCAATTTTTATCATTGTTAATCATTTGTATGTAAATGTGAGCATGGGGTTAGTAGATGATAATGTACATATTATATTATGCGTGTAAAATGCTGGAAAAGTGAATCACGTTTTTCCGAGAGCGATTAAAAAAAAGGCTTTTTCGAAACACACATGTAGTATATTTGGTAGTAACCCATAATGCAACTCATTGAGCTGATTGGTCGATTAGTCAGTCACGTTGGTTCCTCACTTAACATGTAAATTTATTCCGACGTCACAGAAAATAGTTTCCTCGACCTGTTAAACAAACATTGAAATGAAATTTCTTCATAATTTATGAAAAATTATCAATCCCCGACAAAATTCACCGAAGTCCGACTCGTTCCGTGGAAGTCGAATTTAAACGAACTATAATTCTAAAAATTGCAAAATCATAAATTTCGGGTTATTCCCCTTTGAAGATGTAAAATATGACGTAACTTCAAGGCCATTCTCGGTGTATTTTTATCACAACATGATAAACACAATCGGTATCATTAAAAAATTTAAATCTTCATCTTTAAGACAGAAACAAATAAATACACAGAACTCTTAAGTTGAAAGAGAGTTTATTGCCTAAAGTTGTCCGAAGCAAGGTATGTGTCCGATGCATGGTGAACTCACCCTAACTCATACATCCGAGGTTAGATGTAGGGGATCCAAATCTGCCGAGGTGAGCCTAATGACCCACTTGTGAGGAAGGCATATGGGACAAAAAGAGTAGAAAAAATGTCTTTGTATACAAGTATACATGTTGTAAACGATAATTGACACAAGTGTCAAAAACTGGCTACATTAAATGTTTTCAGTTTTTTATGCTGTTTTTCATAGTAATATTTTTTTCTGAATAAGACCCCTATCCAGTTCACGTTTAAAAAAATCTCATTTTGAATTTAAAAAAAAAGAAAAGAAAATAAGAATCTGCGATTTGTGTATCCAAAATATAGTCCTGAACAAAATTTAATGCAAAATGCAAAAGTTTAAACATCTTAAATTGTGATCCACTTTGCTCAAATTATATACATGTACATATTTTCAAAATCATTTCACAAAATTTTTAAACAAATTGATTAGATAGGTACAGAACTACAAAATAAAATGTGTTTCTATTTTGCAAATATCTTTTTCACCATGCCAAAGCACTCTGAGTTTGTGTCAAGTCCTCCAAAATATTGTCTGGTTTTATCGTACTTCTGCACAAATAAGCACACTTATATTCATCACTTCAATGATGTTTCCTCGATATATATGTACTTTGAAACTACTTTATCTCCTACAAAATGTTCGTCACGTCCTTTATAGCAACCTTTTGGAGGAGTTCTACCCATATGAAAGAATTTTGAAGACTGCACTGCGCCGTTGGCACTCGATGATACACCCCTGATCTAGATAGCAGATGTCAGTATGTGTGAACCACTGTGATTCCATGGACTGTCTACGTCCCAGGCCGCTATTTCCTGACGCTAAATTACTTTTCATGGTTCTCAATAAGCTCTTCTCTTAATAAGACCATCACGATATTTACTGCATAATGATCCTAGCATTTCGTCGCCCCCGAGGTGCAGTGGTTAGAGTGTCTGCTCTAGAGTCGCGAAGTAAGGAGTCAATCCTTACGTCGCGGTGTCGATTCCAACTGTGGGACGAGGAGACCGGTTCTTAGGATGAGACTGTATAAACCGAGATCCCGTGTCGCAGTAGGCGCTGGCATGAAAAAGACACCCCTGCTCAAGGGTCCTCAAGGCCGAGTATACAACAAAATTTGCAGCACTCCACCGGTAAGTGGTGGCGTTTCCTTATGAGTGAAAAATTCTCAAGAGGGACGTTAAACAGGTAGAATCAATCAATCCTAGCATATCGTCTTTGTCGCTTACAAGATTAAATTCTAGCTGTTGGAAGTTTTACTTTCATAAAACGTAAAATTGCTTTGAAGTAACATGTCTCGATAGATAATTTTAAAGCTACAGAACTATCAAATATTATTTATTCATTAATTCTTACCTGTTTCGTCGTACTTTATTTCTGTGTGTATTTTGCTCTTAGAATCTTCCAGCGTGTATTCTTCCCTACAATGATGATTCTGTGCACAATCTTGACAATGTGACTTACGACAGTCATTACAATAACGCTGAGCATGTTGTGAGCAGTTGCTGCATTTCACGATGTCCTGTCCTTGGAATGATGGTAAATCCTGTTAAATGTGCTCAAAAATTTTATTAATTGAATAAAGTAAATGACGCCGTGTGTAGAGAAAAATATATACAAAACTTCATTTTGTAGCTAATGATGCATTTCATAGCATATCACCAAAAGCAAGGGATGTCAATTTGTAACCGGTTAATCGGGATCATGAAACCGACTTAGACTTAAGTCAAAATTTCAGTTATCTATAAAATCTTTAAAACTTGTTAAAGGAAACTCATAATTTGCATACAACAGCAGACTGATGATACAAAATCAGAAGGCATTTTCATTTTGGGCTGCTTGACCTCTTAAAATATTCAGCATCTAAGGCATTTTTTGACTTAAGCTTAAGATGCTTCATGATCCCGGGGCCTGTATTTTTAAAATGATATTTAAAACATCGCCGTATAAAGCACTTTTAATTATAGTATGTCTATACTTATTTTGCCGTCATCTATTAAATTACGTAGTAAATTGCATTGGTGTCGGAAGCAAATTGAAAATGGGGGTTCTAAGTGTAAAAAAATTAATTTTGTACCTTCCAAAAAACCTGACAAGCAAAAAAAAAAAAAAATTAGGGAAATTTCTATTTCCCACTCACGAAAATCCTATACCAAGGTATCAAGGGGGGGGGGGGGGGGGGGGTACCAAATTTTTTTTTTTTCAAATACCACTACCTTTTCTATTTATAACCTATACTGCGATGTGTCTGTGGAAAGTGGGGGGGGGGGGGGGGCTAAACCTACGAAGCAATGTTCAATGTCTATACTATATATCCCCCCCGGTTCCGACGCCTATGAATTGTAAATAAAGTTAAAGTTCAGACATAGACTAGTTCTGATTGTTGTGAAAACGCAGAATTAACTTCTTTACTTCTGCGTTGGAAAATCATCCCTTTATGATTTCTCAAGCAAGATTCACGGTTTTCTGAATTTTTCTTGTCTTTTGAAATTGAAATAAAATATACTCATATGCACATAAAATTCCCCGATCAAAAAAAAGGATCACTTCTAACGTCATTTTTAGCCATTTTGTGTATATGAGAAAAAAATCAAGATGTATATCTTGATACGACTAACCGGTTAATCGGTCGGAACGTTTAGCGGTTTACCGAGTGTTTTTAGTCATATACCTAAAATCTTAAATGAAAATAGTTGTATTTTCATCTGAACGATAAATAAGAGGTGCTACTTTCCATAATGCTATTCACTAACTGATACCTCAGCTACAATAATTTTACTTTACTTTGCTCTGTCACTAAAGACAAATAAGACTCTTTTCCACATGAAGCACTAGATCAACCTAAGCCACCAACATCAGTCCTTGGAAGGGCTTAAGGTAAAACATGTATCAGGTGGTGGGAAAAAAGATATATAAGGTGGGTTCATAATCATAAATCAAATTTTACATGGGTATGTAAAAGAGAATTAACTCTTCTTGAAATGGGCTTTGATGTTTTGTTTTTGTTAAATAGTTTCTGTTTTTGGTTCCATTACCTTCTCACCAACTTCAATTTCTTCATCTGTAAATTCAAAGAAAAGGTATGACACTAATTTTTAAATTAATTAAAGATGTAAGAAGTATGAAAGTAAAACAACAACTTTCAATCCATAAAAAGTGTAAGAAGAATGACACTTTTAATGTATTATCAAAGAAATATTATTCTATTGCTTACATGAATTTATATTGCAGAAATTTCCTTTAACAGCATTAACCTACAGATTCTCATCACCTTATTTCGAAGTAACTTCATTGAGGGTCAAAGTTTTTTTTTTTATATTTTAGAATATAGATTTATTTTCTTTTTAAAAAGAGGAATGGTTGAAACGACTATTTCATTTATATAAAAAAAAAATTGAAGCTATTAAATTGAATTTCAGGAACGTGTAAATTAACACCAATATTATTACCTGTACTAACTATTCTTTGTGCATCATCTGAGTCTTCGTCACTTGAACTGGCGATGATTCTGATATTGCCTACATGATAAGCCATCTTCTACGAATAAAGAAAAATCTATCTGTTATAAATATAACCATGAACCTATTCCTCTATGTATAACGTAGCTTTCATAATATGCTCAAAAGAAGATACACTATTTGATAGAGTTGTTTTAGACTACCCGAATGTTCCTAAATGTCATAGGTATGATGTCAATTTCGTTTAAATGAAGAATGTTGTTTGTGCAGACTTTTTCTGAAGTTTTCAATGTATTCTAACAATACTTTATCGATTGTCATTATAGACAAACAGTGATAGGAATGAATTTGGATATTTTTAAAAATACGAGGAACAATTACATGTATGCTCAAGGAGGAGAAATATTTCTTTCAAATCCCAATTTTTTGCCTGTAGAATCTGTTTTTTTAGTGTAGATTTTATTTTCAAATTGCACTGTTAACGAAGTTGAACAGAAACAATTAATTCATTGGCTACCTGAATTTATTATAGTAACAACCTATTTTAGGTAACAATAATTATAAATCCATACGCAGCCTGCCGTTTGTTCAAGTTGTAAATCTCTATTGTGTGACTCATTGCATACTGAGGATGACTCCTAAACTTTACATAACTGAATTCCTCCGTACATCATTTTTATTATTTACTGAATTTTTTTTAAAAATTGTATTTTACAAATTTAAATAACAGAGACTTACGAATATGATCTAAATTCATGTCACAACTGCTATACAATATTCTAAACCTTTATCAATTTTAACTGCTGTCCTAAATTTCCTTCGGATAAATGCAATACTTAAACAAGAGATGTTTGTAAAACACTTATGCCCTCTCCCCTCAAATTGGAAGTCCAAAAGGGCATAACTCTGTCTAAAATGGTTCGATCCTACCCCAAACATACTTGACCTAGATATTCAGCTGAAAAATCTGCATACTAAATTTCATTTTAATATGTGCAACCTCTACAAAGAAAATGAATGGAAACTGAAATTAAGTGGAATTTCTAAGTCCAAGGGGCATAACTCTAACAAAAAGGGCCCGGTGGGTATCCGGGTTAGAATAGGTCCTCAATACCCCCTTGCTTGTAGTAAAAGGCGACTAAATGGGGCGGTCTTTCGGATAAAACCGTATAAAATCGTATAAACCGAGGCCCCGTGTCACGACAAAGATCCCTCCCTGCTCAAAGACGGTAAGTGCCGAGCATAGGCCTAAATTTGCAGCCCTTCACCGGCAATGGTGACGTCTCCATACCAGTGAAATATTCTGGAGAGGGACGTTAAACAGTATACAATCAATCAATCTAACAAAAAGGATGCGATCATATCCAAAACATAACTTGACCTAGATATTTATCTGATATATCTGTATACTAAATGTCATTTCAATATGTGCAACCTCCGAAAGGAAATGAACGGAAACTGCAAATAAGTGGAATTTATCTAAGTCCAAGGGGCATAACTCTAACAAAAGGATGCGATCGTACACAAAACAAAACTTTACCTAGATATCTATCTGATATATCTATACAAAATTTCATTTCAATATGTGCAACCTCTGCAAAGAAAATGAACGGAAACTGCAAATAAGTGGATTTTTTCTGAGTCCAAGAGGCTTTACTCTAACAAAATGGTGCGATCGTACCCAAAACAGAACTTGACCTAGATACTTATCTCCTTAATCTGTATACTAAATTTCATTTCAGTTTGTGCAACCCCGGCGAAGAAAATGAACGGAAACTGCAAATAAATGGAATTTTTCTAAGCCCAAGGGGCATTACTCTGTCAAAATGGTGTGATCCTACCCAAAACAGAACTTGACCTAGATATTTACCTGATAAACCTGTATACCAAATTTCATTCAGTATGTGCAACGGTTGTGAAAAAAATGAACGGAAACTAAATGGACCGACATACCGACAGACAGACAAACGGACAGCAGCAAAGCAGTATGCCCTCCCTTCTTCGAAGGGGGGCATAAAAATATAAGAATAAACTCAATGTATAAAATCTTCCATCACCGCATGGGTTGAGTGTTTAAACATCGTAATGACGTGTTTTTAAAGATAATAATCAAATTTTGAATGTGATGACATACTAGAGCATTTAACAAACGCAAAAAGTAAATAACGACCAGTGATATTGTTGCCATGCGACGATAGACAAAACCGAAAGTTGTGTTTATCTTCATACATATATATAAAGACGTATTTTATATAATAAATCGAATGAAATTATAAGGCAAAATTAAAAATAGACAAGGGTATAAGTTTATAATGTTTGTTAAATTTAATAGCAGTTGACATTATAGCTAAACTTTTAGACACCCTTGTCCTATTTTGATATGAAAGAGAAATCGAAAGTAGATCAACAGTTAACTACAAATGGTTACTTATAGCCACTGAATTTTCTCATATTTGAAAAATTCAGAGCTAATGTTAAAGATAAAAAAAATCTCAATCAATTTACCTTGGAAAATTGCAGTTTTTTTTCCCGAGCCACTACATTTCCACGCTCCTTCTTTATATCCAGTCAGGTGTGACAGTAAGGCCATTCCAAGTCTTTTTTGTGTTTATCATCCACTCTGCAATCAAAATTATATCTTTTTACACAGAAAAACTCAACAAAAATCATAAGGTAAAAAGAATAATTTAAGCACAATTCTAGGATTCCCCATCATCATTTAAGAATTCTTAGAACTAACAATGTACAAGTACCTAAATGAAGTACTAAAGTTCATGGAAGCAAAATGTTTCGGAACATCACTTAAAAAAAGAAAGTTGCTGATTCCAAAAAAGTAAATTGCGTTTCAAACATTTGAATATAAAATCATTTTTTTTTATTTTATAACCTAAAAGCCAATACACTGAATAAAGATTCACGATTTTGAAAAATTATGGATAACTTTGTTCAAATGAAACTCATCCAGTTAATATTAAATTTAAAGGTGCTAAGACACAGATTTTATGTTAATATTTTCTCAATTTTTCTGTCTAATTTTATGACTTACGAAAATATAATAAAAATCTTACTTTTTCTAGACGTTATTGAAACTACGAATTTCTAGACGCGTTTAATTGACATTTCCTTGCACCTTCCCAATTTTTAACTTTTTCCTTCAAGAAAAGAAGAAATCTTGTTGTGTATTAATGAAAAATATTAAAATTTTAATCCAGAAGGGATCCTTGATTACTTGAAAAAAGAATATTAAAAAATTACAGTACGCTGACGATATGACATTTGCATTAAGAAATATATAGAAACTGGGGGAAAAGGTTTGGAGACTAAAACAATTTCAGAATTCATGCAGGTTCTAAAGTAAATACAAATGGAACTGAATGCATTCTTCATGGTCCTTCTTAAAAATCTTTGTAGAGAAATATAGGAAGTAAAATGAAATCCAAATATGTAAGTCTGAAGAAAAATCTTAAAATCTTAAGAAAATTGCAGAAAACAAGTGGGACAGACAGACAAACGAGGTGGAAAACTATAGTAACCCTGGTTTCACAGGCACTAATAAAAGACGATATGACTTTAAATGAATACACCAATCTCTACCCAGAGTTATCGTTCACTTCGCTATAACATAAGTATAAGTAGAACGAAAACTCTGGGTAGAGATTTTGAAAACACTACCATACAAAAGCAAATTTAAACAATCTCGGGAAGATCAACTCATTTATTTTCATTCCCTTACCAGAGAAACCGGGTGGGGGGGTGGGGGGGGTACTGCTTTTCTACTGTCCGCCTGATTGTCACTCTGTTTATCTACCAGTCTGTCCTTCTTGGTTTTTTCCGCACTTCTCTTCTAAATGCTTGCAGATAATGAACTGATTTTTGATATTTGATATGTAAGAATTGATTGCAGATAAAATGCTTTAATGATTTTAGAGGCAATGCCATTATCATTTTATCATTGACATATATAATTAAAAAAAATCATTACAAATCATTGCAGCTAACTTAATGTTTAATTAAACATGATAGTAGATTCATTCCATGAAATGGTAAAATATTAAAACCAAATTCTGTATATCGATGCATATTATTTTAATTATATGCTTAGTAATTTTTTAATTGTAATCTTCACACAGATTATTTCTCTTCCACATACACTGGA